AACTGCCCGAACGGCTTGTCCGGTCAGCTTCCGATCCGGCTCGAAGGACCAATTTTGTGCGCGACTCCGGTTGCCTTCTGAGCGAGGTTCGCAGGCGACGGCCGGAGAGCAACGCTCTTTGACTTTATATGTATCGCCGGACCGAGCTCCGACTGGTGCTCCGAAAACACCCAGGAGAGACGTGACGGGCAGATTTGCGAACCGTTAACAACACAATAAATTTATTGACAAATTACACTGAGATATATAACGTTCTTGATTAATCTCGTACCCGCACGGGGTAGACGAGAGCAGCACTTTCGGAAACGATTTGCAGTTGAGCTGCGCTCGTTTCGCGGTCACACGCGGACGCGCGAAGGCAGTCAACCGGACTCTTAAGACCGTATGAGAGCGAGATGCCAGAATCGCGATGCGAATTTGTAGTTCGCGATCACGAATCTCGGAGCGATCTGCTATACGTGACTCTGGACTGATTCCGTTAATCGTGCTCTCTTATTGCTGTCTCACTAGCAACTGAACTTCGGTTTAAATCTTTATTTGTCGTCGCTCTCCTAATGTCGAGGGTATTTGTTTTTAACGCGAACCGCGCGTTGTATTCGGTAAATCCGATGTGACGATGAGCAGGTCGGACGTGATTATTTGCCCGTCACCTCGCCGATGTTGACATCGATTTGTGTTTATCGGGTCGTTTGGTTCTTTGCCCCGCCAAGTATCGTGCCTATTTCTTGGGCTATTTGCCACGACAATTATCGCTTACATTCGATGAGTTATTCGCCACCACAATCTCGCACAGACAGTTTCGATTACCTACGTATTTTCGGGTCAGAGTGCTACGCAAATATTCCAAAGAAGTTTCGCTCCAAGTTTGACGACAAAGCTGATTTCGGTTACTTTGTGGGTTACGTAAACGACAAAGACGGCTACAAAGTATGGGTACCGTCAAAACATCGCATTGTGAAGTCGCGTGATGTTGACTTTCGTCCCGAGAAACTATGCACAACAAACAACACAATCTACCTCGAATACGAAAATCAGTGCAAGGAAGCCCACAACATCATTGAAGACATTGAGACCAAGGAGGCGTCCACTGGCGATCCCCAGGAAAACAGTGATTCGAGCCCCTATGATACCGCCGACGATTTATCCGAAGAAGGTGAAACTCAGGTCCAGGCTCGGCGCCCCGTACGTACAGTTCGTCCACCCGCAAGGTTTGGTGATTATGAAACGGGCTATCAGGCTCACCGTTCTCAGATGAACAGTGCTCTGGCATGCCTGACAGAAGCAGTTCTCGAAGATCTCGAACCAACCAACTTTAGTGACGCTATGAAGAGTCGCAACTCTGACAAGTGGTGGAGTGCAATGAAAGATGAACTAAACGCTTTCAACGAAAATGACACGTGGGACCTGGTACCATTGCCACCAGGTAAACGCACTATCGACAATCGTTGGGTACTTCGAGTGAAATACAAACCTGATGGATCGATTGATCGGTACCGTGCTCGTCTAGTCATTCGCGGCGTATTTCAGCGCGCGGGACTTGATTACGACGAGATTTTTAGTCCAGTTGCCCGTTACGACGCTATTCGCGCCCTCATCGCGACTGCAGCAGAAGAAAAACTCGTCCTTGGCCAATTTGACGTGAGAACTGCGTTTTTATACGGTGAAATCGATACCGAGATATACATGACTCAACCACAAGGATTCGAAGATGGGTCCGATCGTGTATGCCGTCTCAAGAAATCATTATGCGGACTAAAACAATCGCCCCGTTGCTGGAACAACAAGTTCCACTCGTTTATGAATAGTACAGTAAAATAGCATCTGAAAATGGCAAAACGGATAGAAAAGCCAATTTTTTAGGGTGAGTAGAAGGTCATAGGAGATGTTCAAATTCACAAAGTTCCAACAAAATTTCCCTGTGCGTCGGCGGCCATCTTGAAAATAGTGGTAAGTTTGAATATCTCAGCTTCTATTGGTCGAATGTTTTCTTTTTTTTTAGTTTTGTAGGGAAAAATATTTGCTACAACTTTTGTTTGAAAAATTTTTTAATAGCTGTCAAGGAAAAAGAGTTACAATAAAAAAAGTACCGTCAATTAGGGGTTGAACATACAGTCAGTGTCACAAGAGCGTCGTCACGGTTTCTTCTAAAAAAATAATATTTGTAAAAATCAACATATTATAATAGCCTTAAAATAAAGTATCTGAACTACGATGCGTTTACCTAATACGGCGTCCAATCTCCATGTTTGTCGATTATAGCTTGGCAGCGTCGAGGCATACTTTTAACCAAATTTTTAGCAAAAGTGCAGGGGAAGTTTCAGGTGCATTTTTTTACGTGATAAACGGTCACCAGTAGTTATAATCCACGGGCCTGAGAAAGTGCCTTTCGTTCTATGACAATATGATAACAATTTATGCAAGTTTTCATAAGTTTTAACGACCTACACTGGCCATAGTTCACTATGGCCAGTGTAAGTCGTTAAAACTTATGAAAATTTGGTTTCGAAGTTACTGACGATATATAATTACCACTCTAATTTATGCAAGTTTTCGTTTTTTTATCGATGGGCCAGGCATATTTGTTTCATCAATGTCATTATTGTTATCTCGACTATCTTCGGTGACGACTTCCTCATTTTCGGAATCGTTGGTAGTACCTTCGTTGAAGTCAACCGGGGGAAATTCGTCGCAGTCGTCGTCGAGAAAGTGCCTTTCGTTCTATGACAATATGATAACAATTTATGCAAGTTTTCATAAGTTTTAACGACCTACACTGACCATAGTGAACTATGGCCAGTGTAGGTCGTTAAAACTTATGAAAATTTGGTTTCGAAGTTACTGACAATATATAATTACCACTCTAATTTATGCAAGCTTTCGTTTTTTTATCGATGGGCTAGGCATATTTGTTTCATCAATGTCATTGTTATCTCGACTATCTTCGGTGACGACTTCCTCATTTTCAGAATCGTTGGTAGTACCTTCGTTGAAGTCAACCGGGGGAAATTCGTCGCAGTCGTCGTCGTCTTGGAGTACTTGCAATTGTGCAATGTTTGTACATGATTCCCCACTGCAATGTTTGCATATTACCGAGCATTTAAGCCCAGCTTTGCGACAACCACAGGCTGCTCCACATTTTCTTTTGCATTTACACGATATCGATTCCAGTATCGTGGGAGGCGCTGGATCTTGGGTGGTCATAATTGGTTGTAGTCCTACTGGAGTTCGTCGCCAGCCCCATTCTTCTGGATCCTTATGGATGTCAAGCCAGGTTTGCACTTGATGATATGCGTGGAATGTATGCTGCTTTGCAGCCGCTGCGGTAGGAGGCAAGGAGGAAAGATTGAATTTTGTTTTATTCACTAATTTAACGAATTGCTTATATCGTAGGGAATTAAGCGACACTTCTCCGGTCCCACCAAATAACAGGAAAAATATTTTTTCTCCTGCTGCTGTCAAGACGTCAATATCGAGTTTCATTTTCTTGAACATGCCAAGAACTTCTCGAAGTCCATCGTTTTTCTCGAGAATATTGATTAATTTCGTTTTGCCAATATTGTAAATTGCTGAAGTAGTATCACATCCTGTGAACACGTGAAGAAGAAAGATGTGATCGATTATAGAACTATGTTTGAAACTTTTTGCCGAGTATAGGGCCTCCTGAGTTTTTCCTTTTCCGGGTTTACGGAGAAATACGTTAGGAGTTTCCTGTCCTAGACCAGTGAGCAGAACGAGAAGGTCAATATCTTCACCAATAATTGTGACAGAGTCGTACAAAGATGCATTTTCTATTGCAGTTTTGACAATTAGTGTGTCCGCATCTTCGAACGCTTGTTCAACGGTAACATCGGATAACTGTAAATGTTTCATTAACATGTTAATGAAGCGCGCTTTGTTCTTTCCGTTACTCAGAAATTTTTCTTGGGATACTGTAGGTACTGTATTTTCGTCAAAAATTATGTCAGAAGATTGTTGTTTCCTTGCTCGCCGCAGACGCTCCGACTCTTTGGTGCCTGCAAAATGTGGATCTTCTGCATAACCATCAAAAACGACGACGATGTCTTTGGCAAAACGGCGACGCACGTAGGTAACATATTTTTTGCATGTTGTCCCAAAATTCGAATGGCTGTCCCAAATAACCCTGTGCAATAGGAAACCCCCGTCTATCACATCGAGTCGCTTCGTCCCGAATTGAGGAGTGTCTGACAGTGGCGCAAACGATGTGTAGAATGATGATTTCGTTCCTTTCCTCATTCCTTCTTCAGTAAACAAAGAAAGGGGAAACGGCGAGAGTTCGTAATTGAGAACATTTTTAAGGTCTTCGTCACTTTGCTTTGACAGAGAAATTCTTTGAAAAAGCAGCAAAGGATTAACAGCTACGGAAACGGAATGGATGTTCAAGCTACTGTTTATTGCAGCCAAGGCCAGGATTTTATCCTTTCGTTTGAAGGACAACGAATCGTAGGTAGAACCGTTTATTTTCTTCATCATTTCCATCCCAATTTCGAAGGCGCGATGGCAATTAACGATTTCAGATCCAACAACTCCTGTGCTAATGGACATAAAATATTTAGTCTCCGGAAAGGGATCATGAGTGTTGAACCAGACTGAAAGTTTTTCAGCATTACTATTATCGCGTGAAACTCGACTTTGCCTTGAATCTATATGCTGTTCACTTGTTCCTGTAATAATCCCAGCAAATTCTTCTACTTTTTGGCAAACATCTTGCATGTAAGCGGCTCCTAGAGTCCATTTCCTCTGCGAAGTGTCGTTTATTCTACCGCCCTGAGTCAATCCACCTTTAACCTTAAACGAGCGCATAAGCGTTTGCTCAATTGTCATGTCTGTCATGATCCCACACCAAAATTTGTCAGATCGTCGGATTGTAAAATAGCCACAGGCAGTAAATTTATGAAATTCATCTGCAGACATTTTTTCCTCTAAACATTTCATATCCTGCAGATACAGATGAGCGCTCTTCGCGTAGAGAAAGTGACCGCTAGCGTGAAAGAAAGGAATCATTTTTTAAATTGTGTTTAAATGAAGAGTCCAGTTGCCGGAACGCTCAGCCTCAATGAACTGTTTCAACAATGTAACCATCCGGAAGTATTGAATCCACAACTTTGCGGTAGGGCTCTTTTGTTCCATTAGTGTTAGCTGTTTGCTGAATTCTATGCAAATGCGTTGGACATACGCGTTGTCAACGGCGTTCAGGATGACACTTTGATCTATATCGGTCAGCAACAAATCAATTTCATTGCGTTCTTCGTCTGTGAATTCAGCCGCATCCGTAACGATTTTTGACAAACACAAATGGACTAACATATGTGCACGAACTGCTCTGCTGTATGCATGACCGTCTAACATTTTCTGAACGCTATTCTCTGCATAAATAGTTTTTAATGCAGCATCGAGTCCACTGCCGGCCATTATCGTACCTATCGCGCCAAGGTAGGACATCAGCAGATGGAATCCACCAAGTCTGACGATGATATTACCGAGCTTGGATTCATCAACACAAGCAATAATGTCGCGCGCCTTCCAATATAATGGCTGGTCGAATGTTACAAAAATCGTTTCTTGACCACAGGAGCGACCTAAACGAGCGGCTTCGAGGAGCGACATAAATATGGTGTCATAGTTGGAAGGAATACCATTGATAAAAGGGAGACAAATTATTTTTGATTTTTCATAAGGACAATTAGCAGTGATGTTTTCCATGAAACCGTTCCAACCTGGAACATTGTCAACGTTGGCCCATTTTCCATACAACCATACCATGTCGGTTGGCGTTGGCATAATGTCTTACTCATTTCCACAAGAGCTCATCATATCGGCAACTTTCAGCGTTTGAAGACCTTGAGATTTTGCTGCCTCGTACGTAGCTATTGCAATTACTCCGAATGACTGCAATTACTCTTCAATAGAAGCGTAATTCTTTTTACTGAAGGTACGTTTCATCGCAGTGTCAGGTTTGATGGCGTTGAAAGGGGTTAAGCAATGAATTCCGCCCATCACATGAAAAGTGCCATGTCCATCAAGGGTATTGATATTAAAATCTGCGTTATCGAATACGAACTGAGAGAAGGCAGATGGCAAAGGTTCGCGCGGGGAACGTGTGACACAAGCTGCTTCGAACACGCAAATTTCGCTGTAAGAAGCTGAAAAACCCAACGACGATAGAATGTCGATCAAATTTCGAGAGGCAAATTTTTTGTACAAGAAGACACCGATACCAAGAAGTATTGATGAAACAAACGATCGAGGACGAATGGCAGATATAATTGAATGTGCAATCGATGTGCACTTTCTTTTCCACGTCTTGGAGTCACCACGTTTGTTTTTTTCAATCACTTCTAAAAGAAAAACGCGAAGAGTTTCAGGAACAACGTCATCAACATTTTCCATCAATTTATCTGGAGGGGGATAATTTTTTGTATCATAAACTCGTGAACGTACATCTTCAACAATAATGGCAGCAGCTTCTCGAATTACGCGTAATTTTTCATCTTCTGGATTTGGATTTTTATTTCGATACCAGTCTTCGGCGAGCAACTTATGACCAGTATTCCGAAAGCAAACGACAGACTCGCGCCGGTTTATTTCGAAAATCAATATGTCATCTTCGTATTTTTGCTTCAATCGCGCTTTAACCGTACGAGAATCTGGGTGATAATCTCCTTCGATTTTGCTCATCAATTCACTGATCGTAAATTGGCATTCGTCTGAATTTACCGCAAGAAAAGAGTAAATACATTCCATGGCTGTATTAATATCTTTCAACGTATTTTTATTTTCTTTGACCGGAAAAGTAAAACAACGATAGCAATCGTAGTGATATCGTGCTTTAACCACAGTCAAATCCGAAATCGGACGGATACGGTTCATTACGCCCAGGGCAAAATCATCTTTGCGATCATTCAAATGCTTGAAAATTGTATCTCGTATGGAATTATTTTTCACTTCACAAATTTTTCTTCGTCTGTTAACGGGCAATGATTTTTGCTGTTTTATAAATACCTCATCAATTACTTCGGCACAGAAAAGGCACCGTTTTTCAAAATCGAATGCCGGCGGATGATTCGAAGATTGCGTAGACGGAGAAGATGGAGATGATCCTGAGGTCGAGAGAGCACACTTGTTCCGACGACGAATAGCCGCTGCAACCATTCTCTCGTTGATGTACGCTTTTCGACAGGGCACGTGCACTGTAATGTTATCTACGTTCTCCAGCATGCGCGCATGTTCCTCGTCACCCCTCTTAATAGCAAACAAATGTAAAGTTTTCACACCTCTTTTTTGAGCGACAGTAATTTCCCCGTCGCTCAGCGCTTTCCCACAAATAAAACACTCGCTCATTTTCGTGAAATTTCACTTCGTAACGCTCGAGATACAGTTCCCGACTGACCGAAAATAATATAATACGACTGTCGACTGTTGACTGTCGAATGTCATACATTGTTATCATATTGTCATAGAACGAAAGAGGCACTTTTTCAGGCCCGTGGTTAGTGGATTATAACTACTGGTGACCGTTTATCACGTAAAAAATGCACCTAAAACTCTACCTCATTGGTGGTGCGGAAAAGTTTTAATGTACGACAATTCACAATAAAACCGCGAATTTTTCCCACAAAAAAA